CTAAGGGTGTAAGTGTGCAAGTGTATTGATTTACATGCATTGTTTATCTTGAATTAGGGTTTGCTAACTTGTTGATTTTAGTCTTTCCATACAAACCCTAATTTACTAGCATTTATATAAAGCGATAAATTGCGGAAAGTAAAATTACTAAGCTATTACATCATTAGGGGAGGGGCTAGACAAATTTACAAATGGGTATTTATAAGAAAATTAAACCTAATTATCGATTACAACCATATTGAATATTGTATAAAAATTGAAAATAAAATGCAAGAATATAAATAGACAAAGAAATGATTTTTTTGTTTGGTTTTCATGAAATGGTTTTAACCTAAATAAAAATTAAACAAAATTTAAACTTAAACTAACTAAGAAAGAAATTAAGTTAAAACATTTTTTAGGGTTTTTTATATGGAAAGTTTTAAGTTAATAAAAATAATATGAAATTAATTAACTAAAAGAAAACTAAATTCTAAGTTAATTTTAATTAAAAAGAAAAGAAAATAATAATTAAACCTAAGTCTAAATATTTATTTTTTTAAGAAAAAAAAAAGAAATTAATTTGTTTAAGAAAACGTTTTTTTATCTTTTTTGTTTTATAAAGAAAATAAAATATATAAGTGAAAATAATAAATAAACATGTTTTTATATTTTTTAATAATAATAAAAAAAAAATAATTATAGTAGTAAAAAATGATAATAAAGAAAAATGAAAAATAAATAAAAAATGAAATAATAAAAGTAAAGTTGGGCCAAGTGTGCAATAGTAAGTCAGGGGTGAGAAATCAGCAAAAATAATAAAGCCCACTGGAGAGGCCCAGTCGCCTGTTTCAAACAAAAAAAATGGAAAAAATATAAAAAAGAGCAAAAGGGTACCACTGGGGCTTGAACCCAGGTCCCAAAGGTTAACAGACACACGCTTTACCACTGGGGTGGCTATACATTCGTTCATTTAACTGAAATAATAAATACATAACACAAAACAAGTTCTAGAAATGAACTTCATCTTCAACCTCCAGCCAGAACACTTGTAACTCACTCATTTCTCATATATTCACAAAACTTCCAACATCAAACTTGTTAGAAATTTCCTCACCATTCTGAATATGTAAATAACTTAAGCTAATTCTCAAAGATGAGCATAAATTTCTAAAAGTACCAAATTCTGACCTAAATATTTCAGCAAGTTCAAACTCAAAATTCTCACTACTGAAGCAATATAAATGAAATCTATGGACATGTATAGTTTCCGAGCAATGATGTCTACATTTTATCTTCACAAATGAAAGCCTAACAATGCCTAAATGATAAGATAGAAGTTCAAAAAATATACCTCAAAACTGGAAATCGTGAAATGAGTTTGAGCTTGATTCAAGGTGCTGCAATGATAAGGTTAGCTTCCTTGAGTCTCTAGGAAACTAATGCAATGCTTAGCTTGTATTGAGAGTGGCTAAAATGGCCCAGAGAAGTCAAGTTGTAGACCCTTTTTTTTAGCTTGGACAATGGTTTTACAATTTAGGAACATGGATTGGGATGAGTTGTATTTGAAGTAAGGAAGCTTTTGAGATGGTTTGGAGAGAAAACGCACGAGTGGTTTGAGAGATGGGAGTTTTTGGTCAGGTCCTGCACAACTATGGAGTTTTTGTGCAATCTGAGTTTTCAGGGAGTTTGAATGAGTTTTAGGGTGTTAATGCTCGTGTTCTAGCTTACAAATAGTGCCTCTATTTATAAGAACCAAGTTTGAAGGCTTGTCCTTGATCAAAATTTAAAATCACATGTTTGTGGCTTTTTGCTTGATTTTGAAGAAAGCTTGAGAAATGTGGTTCCAATGCACAAGTACAAAGCTATCTAGAGTGGTTACAAGCTTTAAACATGTTGCTTCTGAGCATACATGTTGTGTGTGTTCAGAATAATAAGTTAGAGGCTCAAGAAGAGTGGACTTTGTGCATAAAACCACTTTTCCAAAATGACAATGTTGCCTTTCTTCCTAAAATGGTTTTAAGCATGGGCAATGCATTGAATGCTTGGTTTAAAGCTTCTAGAAGCTGTGAAAAACATTAATTATTGAGTGACAAACAAGTTTGAGGCCTGCAAAGCAAAGATTATGCAGCCTAGCATGTATTTGGTTCATGTGTTCATCAAGAAATGACTTGTAATTCAAGTTTTAAATTCCTAACTTCTTGCCTTCGATTCTCCTTGCTCAAGTATGATCTTAATGAGTTCTTTGACATTTTGGAAAGCTTATAACATCCTATACAACCTCTATGTTGGACATTTTTTAAATTTCATCTTGGAACTATGTGAAAAATTGCCATGAAGTTAGGTCAAAATCCTGCCTAAACTAGGGCAAATTTTCACTAAGTTTCCAAGTTTCATGAACATGTCTTCACAAAATCATAACTTGAAATCCATGCATTTATAGAATAAGTTGTGTTCTACAATGTTTTATATCTCATTAAGATATACAATTTTCATGTTGGAAGTTTCCTTTGAATCATCTTGCATCATGGTGGAAATTTGGCTCAAAGTTATGAAAAAATATGAAATTTTCAACACTTAGAAAAATTTCTAAGTTTAGAAATTTTGACTTTTCAAAATGAAATCTTGACTTTTTGATTTCTTAATGAACAAGTTTCACATTTTGACATGTTTTGATGAACTGTGATCTTTGACACTTGATTTTGACCAAAAAGTCAAAGTTTGACTTTTTAGTGTATAATTGACTTTTGATCAGTTGACTGAAATTCAACTATCAATCAATGGGACTTGAGGGATGTTTTAAGCCATGCCATTATGTAAAAATGAATTATTTGAATCCTTGATATCATAACTTAAACCAATCAATCATTTGCTAGGTCAAAAATAAGAAATTGCATCTTCTCAGTCAAAATCCTAATTTTGACTATTTTGCACTTTTGATGATCTGATCAAATTTCTTGAGGAATTATGATCCAAACTTGATCAAATGACATATATGAGTTCACAGTGTTGATATGGATAAAAAATTATGAAGTTTTGACTGTAAATTGACCATAATTGACATTTTCCCCAATACAGCTGATTTTAGGTCAACTGGTCAATTGACTGAGCAAAAATGTGATCCAAGACTTGAAAGTTGACATGAAAAATCTTGAGGGTACAAAATGATCCATGAAATTCATTTGGGGAATTAAAAGTCCATTTGTCCTTGTGCGATCTCAAACCCCAATTTTCAGTCATCAGTGCTTGAGGAGGTGCCTTGAGCTGATCAACCCTTGTGCAGTCTTGAACCAAAGGAGATCTTGTGAGAGATTATTTGAGAAATGAGATGGAAAATTTTAGGGTACAATAACATGCAATTCATAACTAGATTAGGGCTTAAAGGTAACCACATAACATATAAAGAAAAAGGGGCTTACAGACACCAAGTTCACATACCAAAAGATAGAACACAAACATGCTTTAAGTTTCAACTTCTAAAGCAAACACTTAAACAAGTTCACAACATGGTATCCACACATGTAAGAAAGAGACACATCAAGGATAAAGGTTTAAATATACCCTAAATATCAAGCCTAAGGGTAACACATCATAATATTTAATCCTACACTAAGCATTTTCAACATGTACAAGAAGAAACATGCTTTCAAATATCACAATGTAATCAAAGCTTATCTTGCAAGTAAATTTTAATATATTCAAGGTAAACCACCTTACAAGTAGGTATCATACTCACAAGTATTCATGTTAAACAAATCTCACAAGAAATGTAATCATCAAGGCAAACTAGCTACCCAAATTAGGTCAAAAGTATCCAACTATCGACCTATGAACGAAACACTATGATTCACTTAGCATATGACTCAAAATAAACATAAACATCAAGGTACAGGTCATTTAAACCCGTTAACATCTTAAAAAAGAAGTTACTTCAACACTTATCAAAGCATGAAAAACTATACAAGAGAAGTAAGCTCCTAACTAGGTTAGCAAGTCAACAAACTTTTCATCTTTTTATCACAACAAAAGAGTTGACTAAAAATGATCTAAAGAGATAAAATGTCCATGAGATTAATACAGCAAGCATGTCACAACATCCATTACTATGCCAACAAAGATCTCCTAAGTTATTGCACAAGTGAACACTAAAACAGTGCCTACTTCGAGGTAGGATTTCAGATGCTCAATCATTGCCTACTTCGAGGTAGGACTTCCAATCAAACATTGCCTACTTCAAGGTAGGACTTCCAATCAAATATTGACTACTTCAAGGTAGGACTTCAGATGCAACTACATTATATGCTTCTAGCAATCAATAAAATCCCAGCATGATGCATGAAAGAGGGATAAAAGAGATTATCGTGGTATCTAACGGAGAAGACTCGTTGACTCTTCAAAACCATGCAAGCGATAAAATAACTCAACCAAAAGCTTCTTAAAATTTTCTTGATGAAGATTATGCTTGGTTTACTTCGTAACTTCTTGAAACACTTCAACAAACTTATCTTTTATTTACCAACATCATAAAAAATATCAATCACAATAATTATAAAATTAAATTAAAACAAGTATAGAAAGTGAAAGTTTAAAGATGTTCAAAGTTGTAGTTGGTGGTATGCTTCAAGCGAAATTCAGGCGCTAGGCCCACTGAATGCAGATTCAAGAAGAGGTTTTTTGTTGCAAGGCTTGTGCTATACCAAAAATTCCACCAATGAGCTCAGGAAAGGGACAATTTGGTCCACTACAACAACATAACTCAATCCCCTTTACAAATTAGTACTAATCACTTCTCATTGTTTTTCAACATTATATTATATTACTTAATATGAACATATTATCACATTTAAAAAGCAAATTGAAATAATTATTATAAAAAAAGCGGTCGATACACAAGGATAAGAAGGGATTATGGTTGAGAATTTTGTGGCCGTTCAACTTATCCTCAAAAATACGATCTCTTCCCTACAACACACAGTGACGCTTCACAAATCATCTTCCCCATGCTTCGATGCCATAGAAAATCAGGTTGGAATTGCGAATTCAAAATGATGATGAAAGCAGGTTGCAGAAGGTTGAAAAGATTCAGAGAATTTGAGAGAAATAGCAGAGAAAATCAAGATGAAGCTGGTGCAGAGAGATAGGATTTTCAGAGTTTTTTTGCTTGGTGATTCTTCCCAAAAGTTGAAGAATGAGATCAATGAATGGTGAGTTTCTCTTTTATATTCTGTTAGTTTGTTATAAAAATCAGTTAGAGCTTGAAGTAATCTTGGTTGTTGAATATGATTTTCTGTTAGGGAATAGATTGATAGGATTGAAGCGTTTGTTCTAATTTTTAATTTAATGGTCTTCACAGGTTTCCTTTCTGGTTTATTGATTTTCATGGTTTCTGAGTTTATTTTCCTGATTTTCTGTTTTTGAATGGCAAGCTGGTGTTAATTCCTGATGCAATTTATTTTTCTCTGTATTTTCTGCTTTTGAACAGGGAACAGTCACATTGTGTGGACAACAAGTTGGCTACTGTGTAGCAGGATTGTACTTTCAATTTTCCTGTTTTGAACTCCTTGTATTTTCTGAATTTTCCATGATGTGTGATGCCATCTTTTTTCGTGACATGCTCTTTTCTCTTGCAGCCTTGTTAATTGGATAAGGAATTTGGCATGGTTCATGACATATATTTACGACAAAAATTTCATGTAATTCTTGATGTAATGCAAAGGTGTAATGGCTTGAAATGAGCTCTTGTATGTTTGTAATGAAATTTGGATTTGAAATGTGATTTTCTCAGAGAAATAAAATTGAATTTTTCTCCACTTTACACATCTGAATTTCCAAATCTTTTCTTCACATGTGAATGAACCATGAGATAGGATGAAAACCTACCAAAATCATCACATGGAATTTTGATCCATAACGTGCCATTTGTGTAATTTTCCATGGTGACATAGTATGCATGATGAATGCCTTTACTTCATGATTTACTTTTGATGCGTCCGCAAGAGTATGTAATTATCAAAGTAATATAAAAGATTGTCGAACCCACAGAGACCAATGTCAACCTACTGTAATCTATCGTCACTTTGTAAAGCTAAGGGTAATGAATGATTAATTTAGGTGAAACAAAGAACTAAAAGTGAAATAAAATAAGATTAAGGAAATATATATGAAAAAAGAGACCAGAATGTGTATTCCACGTTCCTCTGGGACTCTGTAACTCGTTGGCCTATACTGATGTACAAAATTTTGTTTAGTATAAAATATCAATTTAAAGACTGAACCTGACAATAAGATTTTTCTCTTGCTCGCCCATTTTAGTTAAGGAATGTGTTTTGAAAACTGAACAAGTTCTAATTAATCTTAAAGTGCTATCGTTGTGTTTAGAATTAATGCCTAGTTTCTACTATCAGGTACGACCCCCACGCTCTCGCAGTGCCAGCTCGAACCTTAGTTAATTTGCCACTCTCATGAAAAAATCGTGTTAAGTAACCTCTCACTCCCGTGACAAAGCTATTTAAATTAATTTTTAAGAACAAAGACCGAAACTGAATTTTCAAACAGATATTAAGCCAACTTATTACCGAGTCCCGTCGAAAATGACGATCCTCACACACCAGACTCAAAACTATTTAGCTAGACTAATTGTTAAATAAAAGTGAATTAAACATAACAATTGCAATTAAGAACGACATGGTAATTAAATTAACAATGATGAACGAAAATAATAATAATAATAATAAAAAAAGAAACTTGTAAAAGTTGGGAATAAATTGCGAGACTTGAAATAAAGGATGAAATTGAAATAACTTTAATAATAACGGCAAGATTGTTGATCCAAGCAAGTTACACAAAAGTCACACAAATTGTAGGCCTAATACTAATGGTGTGGTAGTTCCTCGATGTGAGAAACTATCACTTTTACATACAGAGTTTTCTGCCTAGAAATCTAATAATAATACTTTGTTCGCTAAACTTAGATGTCCAAAACTAATTTTTAAGATCCTATATATAGAGAAATAAAATGTATATTAACATGTGAGAGGTAGTGGAGATCATGGAGAAAGTAGAGAAAGAAGTGGGAAAATGGGAAGTTGAAAAGATCATGGGGTGATAATGGAAAGTTGGGCTTCATCAGTGGTTACGTGAAGAAGACGTGGAGACGACTTCGCGCGTCAAACATAAAATAGCTATCCCGAGTGTAATATCAAGCTTCTCAATGAACTTTATTTTGATGAAGACAAACCATAATGGCAAGAAGGAAAATATAATGATCAAGCTAAAACATCAATAGATAAAAGTCTTTGATTCAAGCTCTTAGCAAATTACACAAGGTATAATAATAAATCTTGCTATGAACTTAAGTCTTAGATGCTCAATGATCAAAAGAAGTGTTTAAAACTTGTCCAAACTTTTTCTCAAGTTTTCTAAGCAAAAAATTAATTTTTACTTATGCGCAATCGACTTACATGTTAGTGCAATCGATTGCATGACTCACATTTTCAGCTGTTTTGCTTCTGTTTCTTAGTGCAATCGATTTACACAAGAGTGCATTCGATTGTTCTCTGGTTAAAAATGCTTATGTTTTAAAGTGCAATCGATTTGCATGTTAATGCAATCAATTTCTCACCAAAAATATTTGAATTTTCTGGATGTTAGAACCCATGCAATCGATTTGCATCAAGGGTGCAATCGATTGCTTGCTGAACGTTTTTGGAAAACAGCAACTTCGAACATACCTTTTCATAACACCACTTCATGTAATCTTTTCATTTAATCTTGGCAATTGTTCATGATTAATTTACAGAAACTTATGCTATTTCAAAGGGGTGCTATGAACATATAAATACTGAAATTTCAAAATAAAAAATAATCTCTTCCAATCAATATTTTTCTGAATTTTCAAATATTCAACTCAAGCCTTTTTCACTTTCTTTCAAAAAGTTTTCTGCATATTTTCATATCTTGTATAACAGAAAAACTTTGAGCAATCTAAGTCTTGAGTCATTGTATATCATTGTTATTAGAAGAGAAGGTCATGTTATTGATAAAATCACTCAAAGTGATTATTGCTCTATAAACTCACTCAATCAAAATATTGTTGTACACTTTCTTATTTTTCAGGATTATTGAAAATAAGATTAGTGGTTTTTCTACTCTTGTTTTCCAGGATTGTTGGAAACAAGTAAGGTCACCTTGAGAGAATTGTTCTCACTGTTGACATAGTGAAAATCCAAGAGGATTGTTCTTGGTCCAAGATGATTGTTCTTGGTTTTGGTAGTTCTTGTTTAAGTTTGCCAACTATAAGGAAATCTCTTTCATGTTGAAAGGGGACTGGAGTACTCTCGGACTGTGAGAGAAACCAGGATATCTTGCTTGTGTCTCTTTATTTTTCTGCACTTTACTCTTTCATAAACTTACCATAAACCAGAAAAAGAATATCCATCATCACTAAAACCAGAAAAATTTTAAAGTACCTAATTTACGTCCCTCTTAGGTGCAATCCGTACTTACAATTGGCATCAGAGCATGTTATAGGTAATCTATTCCTAGAGATCCAGAATGGCTTTCGCAAATTAAAATCCTATTTTTAGAGATGGTGGTAGTAACAACAAGCCTCCTCTATTTTGTGGTGAATATTTTGACTTCTGGAAAATACGCATGAAGGCACATCTAAAATCATAAGGAGAAGAAATATGGGATGCCGTCGAAAATGGTCCATTTATTCCTATAACGGTGATCAACTGTGCTGGTTCATCAAAGTCTAAAACTGCATGGGATGAAGATGATAAGAAAAAGGTCCTCTATGATAAAAAGGTAATCAATCTTCTTCAAGGTGCACTTAGCATGGATGAATTATTTCGTGTCTCGGCATGCAAAATGGCGAAAGAAATATGGGATACCTTGGTACAGACTCATGAAGGAACCTTTGAAGTTAAACGATCAAGATTAAATACTTTAAGTCAAGAATACGAGTTATTTCGAATGAAGCCCAGAGAATCCATCCTTGACTTGCAGAAAAGATTCGTGCACTTGACAAATCATCTAAGTGCTCTTGGTAAGACTTTAACTAATGATGAACTAAATCTGAAAGTGCTTAGATCTTTAACTAGGGAATGACAACCAAAAGTAACGACAATTTCTGAAAAGAAAAGTCTTTCTACAATGACGTCCGCAACGTTGTTTGGAAAACTTCAAGAATATGAAACGGAACTCGGAAGACTTGAAAAGCATGAAAATCAAGAGAAGAAATCTAATAATATTGCTTTAAAGATTGATTCTAAGGAAGTTAAAAAGGAAGACAATCCGGAAGAAGATGAAAATTTCATGCTTCTTGTTAAAAGGCTTGATAAGTTCTTTGGTAGAAATGACAAATCCTTTTCTCATGCAAAAAGAAAGAAACAATTCAATAAAAAGGAAGCTTCCACATCAACACAAGAAGTCACATGTTATGAATACGGTAAGTAAGGTCATATAAAGCCGGATTGTCCAAAACTCTCCAAGAAAGGTGGATACAAAGGCAAAAATGAATTTAAGAACAAAAAGGCCTATGTTACATGGGAGGATAATAAGATAAGTTCTTCGTCGGATTCTGATAGTGATGAAAGTTCAAATCTAGCATTGATGGCCTCACACCATTCCGATAGTGAAGATGACGAGGTTAGTAATGAATTTTCTATTTTTGATAATGATGCACAAGGTGCTATAGATGAACTATTAAATGAATACAAAATTATGTACAAAACTATTTCATCTCAAAAGAAACAAATTTCATCTTTAGAAGAAAAATGTAAATCTATGGAAAAAGATCTCAAAGATGAAAAACAAAAATTTAGTGAGCAAAAGCAGAATTTTGTATGCAAAAATTGTGAATCACTCTCTTTACAAATTTTCCAATTAAAAAGAGTTATTGAGAAATATGAAAAAGGTAAAATTGGATTGGAAGGTGTTCTTAGCCAACAAATATATTCCAATGATAAAAGTGGACTTGGATATTCAAAGTTTTCAAAACCAAGTTCTAATAAAACTATCTTTGTTAAGGCTAGTGATCAACCATCCAAAGAGAAAGTGAACAAACCTAAAGTGGTTCATTATTATCCTAAAAAGAAAAAATTTCCTAAGAATAAATCTTATCCTTTTAGATATAGAAGTAACTTTGAACCTACTTGTTTTTATTGTGGTATTAAAGGCCACACACCTAATGCTTACTATGTTAGAAACTTTAATGTGGCAAGTGGGAATTATGTGTGCGTAAAGAAAGATACTAATTATGAAGGACACAAAGCAACTTGGGCACCTAACAAAAACTAATTTGTTTTATAGGTATGCTTGAAGACCACATGCAATCTATGGTATCTTGATAGTGGTTGTTCAAAGCATATGACGGGAG